TGGATGGTTATTGTCTGCTCTGGGAGTGGAACTTCCAGTTCCTTGAGGAGTCTTGAAATGAACATGGCTTCTTTTGCCACTTGTGAGAATGTAAGCAGTTCAGCTTCAGTGGTAGATGTGGTGACTGTGTCTTGCTTGTTTGCCTTCCATGCAATAAGGCCATTGAATAGTTTGATTGTGTATCCTTGAGAACTCTTCCTATCAAGTATATTGTCTGCAAATGATACATCACTTGCAACTTCCAAAGAATCACCTCTTCCCATTTTGAGACCAAGGTTCTTTGTATCAAAGAGGTACAGAAGGACATGGTCTGCTCCATTTTGGTGTTCCTGTCCTGGGTTCATCAGGAAGCGGGCCAGTCTGGAAGTTGCAAAAGCAATGTCTGGTCTGGTGATGACTGCAGCAAATAGCAAGGATCCAATCTTTCTCTGATACTTGTTGATCTCAGATGGTGTTGCTAGGCCTTCCCTTGGCTTGAGTTCAACATTTGCCATTGGGATATCATGCCTGAGGTCTGTTCTGTGTAACGATCCAAGAGGAACTAGACTCCACCCGACTAGGGTTGCTCTCAGTTAAGCGAGAAAAGTCTCAGAGCACAGCGTAGCCAGCCCAAGTAAGTCAGGATGACAGTGCTCGACCTATATATCCACTAATCCTGGTATGACACGATCATGTGTTGACTGCAGAGTGCTCTCAGTGATCATCTGACCCCTCTAGAGCAAGGAGAGCAATGGAGCAAGAGCATGCAATCTACTCTCAATGCTCTGCTCATGTTGAAGGAGCAAAGGGAGCATCTCATGTATATAACAGTAGATGATGAGCCTATATGGTTTATCGTGTTCAATTCAAGTCAAGTACTCCTTAGTACATTTGGTTTTCAATTATGCGTTATCCCCGGTATCACCTCCATTACCCCCGGTGTCACCCCCATGCAAGGAACCCTATCGTTCGTTTCTGAGAATCAACCAAGATTCCTAGAGGACATACCATTATCCGTAGAACCTTTACATTCTGTCCACCAGATGGCTGATCTTCTCAGCATACTGGGCTTAGAAGAGAAGGAGAGTGTGCTCTTCATGGTCTCTTAGGACTTCTATACCAAGGAACCACTGAAGATCACCACCTCCTGTGATGGTGTACTTCTCTGTGAGTTTCCTGATAGCTTCCTGAGCTTCCATCTTCCTGGACTTGTGGAATGCAACAATGATATCATCCACATAGAAGAACAGAATGATTCCATCCTTGATGAGACAACATGGTTCATGTTTCACT